TTTTGGTTAAAGAAAACAAAGATGTTATTGTTTTTCCCATACAGATTCAGGGACCATTTGAAATCTATCCATAGAGTCTTTGTGGGGAGGAGGACAGCATTTGGGAACCCAGGTTAAGAGTCCCTGTTTGAGAAAAAGTGAGGATTGGTCTTAATTATTTTTCACAGATTCTGAGAGTCGGAGGAAGGGATCTAAGCCATCAGAAGCCACTTAATCCAACCAGAATATGAACATGAACCTCTGAATGGTCAACCAGGCTTTGCTAGATGGTCCTGGACAATGAGGGACCCTGCCCCCCCCTTGAATTAAGGAATTGTTAATTATTCGCTGCAGGGTGAGGGAGACCAAGTCAGACAAGCCTGCTACCCCCCTCTCCCACATGACAGCCCTTGAAATCTTTGAAGGCAGCTGTCCGGGCAGGCTGGAAGTGTTCCATTCTCCAGGCTGACCATCTCCGCTTCTTTCTTTGATCTCTGATTCAGTCTGGATCTTTGATCAGGGAATACTGCTAGCTCTTCACTGATCCTGTTCCCTGCCAGCCCATGGCCCACTTTGATCTGACCCTCTGTTGTTTTCACTCTCATTCTGTTCTAGGTAGCCCTAAGACTACTGGGCAGTTGTCCCATATCCCACCCTTGCCCTTCATCAGATGAGAAGCTCCAGGACTCAAATGATTATCTGTGAGTTTCCCCCAGCACCTCCTAGGCCCACTGTCTGTACGCAGCAGCAAATGCTTAATAAATGACTCTTGTATATGGCTGACATGGAAATATATTTTGCATGATTTTCGCATATGTAACTGATGTCACATTGCTTATCTTCTCAATGGATGGAGGAGGGATGGGAGGGAAGGAATTCAAAAATCTTTTTAAAAAGGAATGTTAAAAATAAATAAATAATGTGCTTTAAAAATTAAATGTTATTGAATAAATGCATCAGGGGCAAAGGAGTGGAGAAGAGAGGCTTGCATCAGGCCTGCGATGAAACTAGGCTAATAAATTATTGAGGTGCTGAGCTGAGAAGTTAGAAAGGATGGCTGCACCTTCTGGGTTAGGAATAAATGCACTGAATGCACGCTGCTGGAAAACGGGGATTATGTCATTCTTACTACTTGTATCCCCAAATGCCTGGCATAGTGCTTGGCATACAGTAGGTGCTTAATAAATACCTGGCTGATTTTTGCGGAAGCACAGGACCGAGGGAGAAAAAGATGTACCTCCTGCTTATGGAATGGCTAAATAAATATGACTGTTCTATAGGAAATGATGAATATGATAAATACAGAGAAGCATAGGAGGATTTATATGAACTGATGCAGAAGGGAGCAGAACCATGAAAACATGATAATCACAAGGTAAATAGAAAGAATAACAGAAATAAAACAATGAAAACTGAATGCAGCAAAGCTATAACGAAGCACTGAGCCACCCAACTGCCAATAACTGGTCTTACTGGAACACATTTGGAGTAGTGGGCTCGGTTCTGGGGGCCACAGTTCAGGAAGGAAACCGTTAATCAGGAGTGGGTCCAGAGGAAAGTCAGCAGGACAGTGAACGGCCATGCCAGCAGGATCAGTTAAAGGAACTGGGCTGGGTTAAGCAGGAGAAGAGAAGATTCAGGATGAGAAAGGATAGCTGTGTAAAGGATTGGAAAAGCTGTCCCATGGAAGACAGACTAATGGATTGTTAGGAAGGGTGTCCTTGCAGCAGCTGCAGGGGCAGAAGCAGGCTTGTTGCAAGGACAGCCTTCCTAACAATCAGAGCTGTCCCAAAGGGGTGTGGTTTGTCCCAAGAGGCAGGCAGCTCCCCCTCATCTGGGAGTCTTCAAGAGGCCAGATGACTACTGGGGCGAGGATTATTCTTCAGGTACGGCTTATACTAGATGGCTTAAGGTCCCTAGTGACTGTCTAACTTACAGGTATTTAAAACACCTTCTAGCTCTGACTAGGAATAATTGAGAGCTACATGGAAAACAGACAAACAAATCGATTCCTTAATTAGATGCCACCAGAACTGAAGCCGGAGAAGCCTGGGGTCAAAGAGGTCCCTTGCGAACCTCTCTCACAGGTGTCTGGGATGCTAATAAAGTCATTAGTGAGGACACTCTGGATGGGGAACAGAGAGGATCTGGTTCCAATAAATCTGATAAGCAGAGGCACAGACAGTGAGAACGGAGATGCTGAGGGTGGCCCCTGCTGACTTCTTCAGCTGGTTCTGACAACGTGGCAGCCACAGGCAAACGTCACGTCAGCACGGTAGTTAGTAGCAGGCTCGCGGCAGTGCTTGAACAGAAGCTGAGCCTGTAGCTGGAGGGGCCAGAGAAGATCCCGGCTGGGACTGAAAATCCAACACTCCTCTGCTTGGAATTTCAGGCCCCTCACCATCTGGCTCCGACCTATCCTTCTTGCCCCATCGCCAACCGGCCTTGCCTTACGCACTCTAAGTTCCAGGCAGATCATCCTTCTCTGGCCTCAATGCCTTCCCCGAGGCTGCCTAAGTCTTGCCTCCTTCCCCAATCCTTTGGTGCTGCTAAGTTGTTTCAGCTGTGTCTGACTCTTCATGACCCCTTTTGGGGTTTTCTCAGCAAAGATACCAGAGTGGTTTGCCATTTCCTTCTCCAGCTCATTTGACAGATGAGGAAACTGAGGCAAGCAAGATTAAGTGACTTGTCCAGGGTCATACAGCTAGCAAGTGTCTGTCCCCTAATCCTTATCAACCTTCAAAGTCCAGCTCTGGGGCCCTTATACATGAGGCATTTCTGGATCCCTTCCAGTTGGTGTTTTCCCCACCCCATGCTGAGGTCACTATTTACTCTGCATACATTTTATATACATTAGGCTGTGAATGTATTTCCTCCCATTAGACTGTCAGCTCCCTGAGGGCAGGAAATGTTTAATTTTTGCCTTTGTATCCTCAGGATTGAGCACACAGGGAGGCTCCACAATAGATTCCTGTTCAGTTGAACTGCTGAACAGTTTGGCTTCTTTCCGATGCCCCCATACATTAATAATATAGTGGCCCACCCCAATTCCTTTCTCAGTTTTTAGATTCTTCTAAGTGTGCAGCACACAATATTTGCTGATAGCGTGTAAGCTCCCACGGGGAAGGGAAGTGATTCACACTTGCCTCTATCCCCAGCACCCAGCACACAGTGCTTGGCACATAAAACATGCTTCATAATAAAGGTTTGCTGATTAACTTTTAGAGTGTGAGGTTTCTAAAACACGTTCTTCACAGCAGCCCTGCGAGGTACATGACAGGATTATAGAGGATCACAGACTCCGAGCTGGAGGGGACCATAGGAATCATTTTGCAGATGAGAAAACAGGCCCGGGGAATGAAGTAACTTACCCAGGGTCACACAGCTAGCAAGAGTTGGAACGGGGATCTGAACCCAGGTTGGCATGCAAGGGGCAGAATGGATACAGCACTAGACCTTGAGTCAGGAAGATCTGACTTCAAATTCCACCTCAGATACTTCCTAGCTATGAGACCCTGGGCAAGTCACTTTCCCTCGTTTGCCTCAGTTTCCTCATCTGTAAAAATGAGCTGGAGAAGGAAATGGTGAACCACTCCAGTGTCTTGGCCAAGAAAACCCCAAATGGGGTCAGGGAGAATTGGACATGACTGAAACAAGTCAACAACAACTGGAGATAAATAGCCCCTACTTTCAGGATCAAATATTTATGAAGCACTGGTTCAGTGCCTGGTGCACAGCAGACCCTTCCCTTTGTTCCTGTTTCCCATTACGCCCTCCCTCATTAGAGGGGGATGACCACCCCCCAGCCTTTACAGCAGCCTCACCCCCCGAAGTGCTTTGTTTGGGACTCTTGGGTTTCATATCATTCAGGTGAAATCTAACACCAAGATTTATGGCAGCACAGGACCAGGATTTGCCCTCAGGCCCCGAGTCCCCACTTTCTCCTCAGCCCTTAGCTCCTGGGTGGGGGTGCAGGGTTGTTCTCTGTTCCCTCTCCAGCACCAGGCCCTTCTTAAGAGTTCTGACATTACATTCTTCCCTCCGGGAATAAAAGGCCAAGGGTGGTGGCAGGAAGGAGCTGCTGTCTCCTCCTCCAAGGAGGAGGAACATAGCCCTGTGATCCAACTGGCCCATCTTGGATGTGGGCACCAGGCCTGATAGGGTTTGTAGAGGTGGGAATGTTGCTCTGCCCCCTCCTCCTCTGCCCTTGAACTGGCCAGCACTAGCTGTGACTCTTAGGCAGCTCACTTCCCTTTCTTAGCCTCAGTATTCTCTGTAAGATGGGAATAATAATACTTAGCACAGTGCCTAGCATACGGTTGTTCAGCTGTGTCCAACTCTTCGTGACCCCTTTTGGGGAGTGGTTTGCCATTTCCTTCTCCAGCTCATATTACAGATGAGGAAACTAAGGCCAACAGGGTTAAGTGACTCACCCAGGGTCATACAAATAGTAAGTGTCTGAGGCTGCATATGAACTCAGGTCCTTCTGGCTCCAGGCCCAGCACTCTGGGCCTGCGCTAATTAGCTGCCTGTTAAGCATGCTACCATCTAGCCAACCTGGCTTTTTTGGCATCCGTCACACAAGAAATCTCATCCCTTACCACTATAGAGAGGCTGTCCTTCACACTGGGATTGCACTCTCTCTGCCTGTTAAATCTGCACCTTCCTCTAAAGCTCAGTGTAAGGACTACTTTCTACTGGCCTTTTTCATGGAGATACCTTGTGTTTAACTATATATTGTATCCATGATTTATATGTATATGTTTTCCCCGACATGATTTAAAGTCCTTCAAGGCAGGGATGAGTTCATTTTTTTATCTTTCTATCTCGAGCACCTTGCACAGTACCTGGCACACAGTAGGTGCTCAATAGATGCTTGCTGAGTGAATGAAATCCACCCTCTGACCTTGAATCAGGCTGGCATCTCCCAGAGCCTAGCTTTCCGCACTGCTTATGGTCCGCCCCTCCGCTCTGTCCCACGATATTTTGGCCCTCCCCCAGCGTGCCCAGAGGCCACGTACCGTGAGCATCGAAGAACTCATCATCTGAACTGTCATCTGAGTCCCTGGCTATGCTCTGCATTCTCCACTCTGAGATGCTTTGGCAAGAAGGGCTCCCTGGAAGGAAAAACCCCAGACTTATCACCGAGTCTCAGGACTGAGGAGGGTTGTGTACCTGCCACGGGGAGAGGTATCATGGGGCCAGATGCTTCTCTCTCAGGGAAGAGGGCTTCTCCTTGGGAGGCTGGAGGTTAGGTGTCTGGACTTAATGAAGGAGAGTGCCAACAGAGGCTGGGGCACATTAATAAGTACAGGGCTCTAGAACAGATACAAAGGGATGGACCAGATGACCTTCAGAGAACCTGGGGGCAGGTGATCCTGATTATGTTTCCATGGACTGAAACAGACTCTACTTCATTGGGGAATATAAGAGTATCTAAAAAATAAAAAATAAAGCTGGGGGCCAAGAAATCCCAATTCTGTTTCTTTCAATCAGGTAATTTCCTCTCGACCCTGTGACTCTGCACTGGCTTTTCCCCAGGCCAGGAATGCCCTCCCTCTTTATCTCAGACTCCTGGCTTTCTCCAGGTCTCAGCTAAAACTGCACCTCCTGCAGGAGGCCTTTCTGAGGCCTTCCAGCTGCCTTCCCCTCTTTCTGCCTACTCCATGGATTTCTTATATTACCTAGTCAGTCATATATGGCCTCTCGTATCAGAATGCCCACTCCTTGAGGGCAGAGACTGTTCTGGGCTTTCTTTGCATCCCCAGGGCTTGGCTAGCATGGTGACTGGCATGTGGGTAAATACTTAATAATGTTTGTTAATTAACAGACCAGACTGCCTGCCTTGAAAATAGCCTGATCCTTATCTTGGGCAACTGACATTAGTCAGACATGTCCCACATTCACAAACCCAACAGATGGATTTGCAATAGAGACGAGGGAAGAATCCTCCTTCACTTTACAGAAGCCTCCATCACTCAGTTCTCATAAGGTGCCAATTCTTCTCAGCTCACTTCCAACAGAACTCAATTCATGAAACTGTCTCTTCCGGGGACACACCTGTTGAGTTCTCCTGTTCTGAGCCCTGGCATGTCCGTCTTGGGATAAGGATGATGGCATTCAGGCTAAGAGAAGAGACTGGGGCCTACCATCAGGCTGAAGGCCACTGTACAGAATTGAGGGCATGATTTGGGCGGCGAGAAGCTAGCAGCTGCTTAGCTTTTCCCCTCACGCCTAGCCTGCTCCTGTGTCCTACCCCACAGATGGGGAGGGGATGGGGAGTCTTGTCTTTTTTGGGTTTTTTGTTTCTTTGGTTTTTTTTTGGTGAGGCAGTCAGGGTTAAGTGACTTGCCCAGGGTCACACAGCTAGTAAGTGTCAAGTGTCTGAGGCTGGATTTGAACTCAGGACCTCCTGACTCCAGGGCTGGTGCTCTATCCACTGTGCATCTAGCCATCTGGGAGTCTTGTCTTAACAAGTGTCTAAGCCCCCCCAGGAGGTAGGAGCAGACCCCAAGCTGCGTGTTCAAGGTTCTAATTTTGTTCCCTAACTGCTGTGAGGAGGCAGCACTGTGACCTGCCTACTAGGGCTGCTCATGATGTCTTTTCTGTGGTCTCTGCTCCTCTGCTGGGCTCCTGTGGGAGCACAGCTGACCAGGATCAGAATCCTACCCAGCAGCCCCTTGGAGAGCCCAGTGGGGTGGGGAAGGAAGCCTAGACAGGATGGGGCTGGAGGCTCAAGGTCAGCAGATTTTTCAGTGCCCAGGGCAGGTCACTTCTCCTCACCCCTTGGAGGCTGGAACTAAAGTCAAGGGCACCCTGAAGCAGCTGCTTTGTTCCAGGCTGGCTCATCCTACTTGGATCATTTCCCAATCCCTCTTAAGGGAGATCCTGTGAGATCACTCCCATTTATCCTCTACTGATCTCTTTCATGCTGTTGTTTGCACACTATCTCCCCCATTAAAATGTGAGTTCCTTGGGGGCGGGGCAGTTTTTGTCTTTCTATCCAGAGTTTAGCATTGTGCCTGGCATACAGTAGGCATTTAATAAGTGCTCGTTGACTTGACTTGCCCCTAGCAGCCAGGTGGCGAACAGGGCTAGGGAGGAGCTAGAGCTGTGGAGACTCCTGGATGTTAGAACACCTCATGAATCAGCACATTGCTCGCCAAAAAGGATGCAACTTGGCACTCTGAATTTGGGGGCCTGCAATGGGGAAAGAGAGGGCCTAGCAAGTCAGGGAATTTAGAACTAGTAGGGACTTTGGATGAGAAGCCATCTGGTCCGACTGCTCATTTTAGAGATGAGCAAGCTGAGGACTGGGAGATGGGAAGTGACTGGCCCAAGGTCACACAGGAAGTAAATGGAAAAGCTAGAATCTGAACTCGATGCCAAGTCTGGGTGGAGACCCCAGATCTTTACTAAGACACACAGGGTGGCCCCAGAGGACCTGAAGTTTTCACCCAAAGGCTGATGCTGGACTCCCCTGGAACCTGGAAATAACAGGAAAGCAAAACCCAAGGAAAGCCCCACCTTCAGTAAAATGGAAATCAGGTGCCAAAGGACATAAAAATCTAGAATTATACAACAGAAACTTGGGGAGGGATGAGGAGGGAGGGATTTTTAGCCCTACAAAGGGTCCTTTAGAGTGAGTGCCCCAGAGTGCATTTTAACAATAGGAATTTTTTTGATCTACACACAGCTTTTCAGGAACATGTTTATTACATTAAAAAAGGGGTGGCCAGAGCCCTAGATGGCCAGCCTTCAGAGGGTGGGTACGGATGGGGGAGCAGGGTGAAGGGAGCCTCTCACCTCCTCGTTTGGATGACCGGGAAGACTTGGAGGACGTGGACCACTGCTTCGTCAGGCCTCTCCCCTTGAGGGCCTCCCCGTTGCTGCTGGGGGGCTCGGGGGCCTCCCTCAAGGCATTCTCCTCTTCCTTCTCCTCACTGGGGGGCTCCTGGGGCCCATACCCATCGCCATCCATGTACTGCGCCATTTTTTGAGACAGCATCAGCTGCGCCTCTTTCTCTAGCTCCCGGATGTCCTCGATGGTCAGACCGTACCATTCATCTTGCCAACACCAGGCCTGTCGGTGGGCCCTCACCATCACCTTCCGAAGACCTGGGCCAAGGGACCAAAGAGGGACTGGGTCAGTGACGAGCCCATGGGGCCCTGGCTGGGGAGCCCAGCCCTCCCCTTCTTCCTCAACTCCGATTTCTGTAACTTGGCCCGTGAGCAGAGCACCCTCAGACCAACAGAAATCAGGCAGTGGGCAGTTAATGTTCTGCCAGTAATAGAAAACACACCCAGGATTCTTGACCCTGGCCTGCTCCTTATGATTCTGCTGCTGTCTTACAAGGCTTGGAACAAGGACTGCCTCCTACAGGAATCTCTTTCTGATCTTCCAAGTTCTTATAGTACTCCATCCCTCCTCAAAATAGAACGTATCCTTTTAAATCTCTGGTATAAAGGATAACTCACAGAGTAAGGGGAGGGCATGAGGGAAGAGCGCCTGGCATATAGTAGGTGCTTAATAAATGCTTATTGACTGAGTAAGTTGCAAAAACAAAAGGCATCAATAAAAGGTAAGGTCTATCTTTGCTTTTGTATTTGTAAATCCAGTACTCAGTGCACAGCCAGGGCTTAATAAGTGCATTCTCATTCATTTAAAAAAAACTCATGCACAGCCTTAGCTATTTATATGGTTTATCCCTTCAGTTAAAAGTAATCTTCTTAGCATAGACAAGTAGGACAGTTATAGAAGTAACAGGCAGAATTGTTATTATTATTATTTTTAAGGTAACTGGGGTTAAGTGACTTGCCCAGGGTCACACAGCTAGTTAGTGTCAAGTGTTTGGTCTGAGGTCGCATTTGAACTCAGCTCCTCCTGACTCCAGGGCCGGTGCTCTCTCCACTGCGCCACCTAGCTGCCCCATATTATTATTATTTTTAAAGCAAGCAGGATCAAATTGAAATTCAAGGTTTTGTGCAGAATCTTCTTTTTACCTTCTGCCGTTTTATTAAAATGCTCCTTTTTTGATGTTAATGTTCAGAACAATAATTTTTTAAAAAATTACTTATTATTTTATTTTTCCCAAAGCACATGTAAAAACAATTTTTAACATTCATTTTGAAAAGTTTGAATTCCAAATTCAGAATAATAGTTTTTCAAAAGAATATAAACTCCTTGAAGGCAGGCAATCCTCATTTTGTGTCTTTGTATCCCTAGAGCTGACAGTAGCGGATTAATAAATACGTGCCGCGAAGTGGGGCGGTGGATAGAGTGTCTGGCCTGCAGTCAGGAGGACCTGAGTTCAAATCCGACCTCAGACACTTAGTAGCTGGGTGATCCTATACAAGTCGCTTTCGCTCTGTTTGCCTCAGTTTCCCCATCTGTAAAATGAGCTGGAGAAGGAAATGGCAAACCTCTCCAATATCTTTGCCAAGAAAACCCCCAAATGGGGTCACAAAGAGTCAGACACAAGTGAAATGACTTAACAATAACAAATGCATGTTAGCGTATTGGATGGGATAGGGTAAACCTTGCACCGTCCTTAATATCTTTAGCTCTGTGACCTTGGACTAGTCCTTAGATGACAGACTCATAATCCGCTGCTAGACCTGGAACGCCGGCTTGGGAGGACCTACCTGACCAGCTGCCCTGGTGATACCCCAGGGTCCCCACTATACCCCAAGGGGTCATCAGAGGCTCTGCATATTTATGGACTTTTAGTCCCATGAAAAATAACTTCCAATTTGTATTGTCCATCTAACTTTTCAAAATGCTTTCCCAGGCATACGTGCCCAAGGTCACACAGTAAGGTTTGAGGAGAGGTTTTCTGAGTCCTGACCTCAGGGGGTTTCTCCCCAACAACATCCTTTATGTTTCATCAGCAGCACGCCCAGGCAAGAGACACATTAGGCCTGCAACCCAAGGCACCTCACATCTCAGGCCTATAATTGGAGACCTGGAGCCTGACTCCCCACAGGAAGGGAGGAGACCATGTAGCTGAGGTCAGCGAGCTCATGCAGACAGAAATACTTGTGGGGTGTTGGAAATGCTTACTAGTAGATGACTAATGAGGTCAGACTGAAGATGGGGAAATTTACCGCCATGCAGACAAATGCTTGTGTGTGTGTGTGTGTGTGTGTGTGTGTGTGTGTGTGTGTGTGTGTGTGTGTGTGTATGTGTGTGTGTGTGTGTGTGTGTGTGTGTGTGTGTGTGTGTGTGTGTGTGAGTTGGACAGGTGAAACCCTCAAAGAGGAAAAGTTACTTTGCCAGCCATTAAGAACCAACTTGATGCTGAAGACAGAATTCCCAAATCTCAAAGTTGGAAGGGGCCATCCAGGTCCCTAGTCCAACCCAGGTGGCCTAGACGGTCATGAAGTCCACCCCAGGCTGAGCAGGCACACCCTCCATAACATCACCAGCAAGTTATCCAGTCTCTGCTGGAAGTTCTTCAATGACGGGGAACTCATTACTTCAAATGGTAGCCCACGTTGCTTTTGGATAACTCTAAACATCGGGAAGTTTGTCCTTGCGGCTGAAATCTTCTCTGCAGTTTGCACCTGCCTCTGTACTTGGTTCTAGGCCCAGAACTAGAACAGGGATTAATCTGAAGTGATTCAAAAAGTCATTTTTAATTTTGCTTTGTTTTGGCAATGGGACTATGTGACTTGCCCAGGGTCACACAGCTAGTGAGTGTTATCAGAAAGTAATTTTGAGGTGCCTAGTATGAGCCAGGCCCTGGGGATACAAATAGCAAAAAGAAAGACGCTCCTGCTCTCATGGAGCTCACATTCTACATCAACTGTCCTCCATCTTCACCAAGGATAGAACAGGAATGACAGGGAGATGGAGAGGGGCAACATTTTGGATTTCATTGCTTTGTTCACTTTGCCCCTCCCCCACCCCCGGCCACTTCAGCTTTCTTCCCCTCCTAGACTGTAAGCTCCCTGAGGGCAGGAATTGTCGTTCCTTTTCCTATCTGTACCCCCAGCACTTAGCACTGTGCCCAGCACAAAGAAGGCCCTTAGTAAATTTTTATTGATTATTGACCATAGAATAAGTGACAAGGGAAAGCAAGGGGCTGATCGTTTCCTTTTTGGTTTTGAGGATCAAATATGATCATGTACCATGTAATCACCATGGCGACTCATCATTATTTCCAATGAACAAACAGAGGCTGAGAAAGGGGAAAGAGACCTAATCAGCCTAGGTCCTGTTGCCAGTAAGAGGCAGAGCTGAGACCCGAAGCCAGGACTCTGCCGGCAGGAGCAGGGCTCCTTCTACAGACACCGCTGTATGGGGATCAGCCTGGAATCCTCTTCCGGTGCTGCTGTTTCTAGAACTGGAAGGGACCGCCTCAGAGCTCTCTCGTCCAACTCCTCCATCTTCCAGGAAACTGAGGCCCGGAGAAGTCAAAGTGATCTGCCCAAGTCACAAAGACCGGGTATGGCAGGGCTGGGGTGTGAACTCAGGTCCTCAGCATCCAAAGTCATCACTCCCTTCCTCCACAGAGCCTCACCGTATTCTTGCCTGGAGGCTGGGGGACGGACGCCATGACCTTCGAGACTCAGTCCACTTCTAGCTGACTTGGGTTGAAGCCTGAACATTACCTAGCTCTAAGTCACTGTGCGATTCAGACATGCGAGGAACCACTTACGCCTTCTCTCCCAGGGCACTATCCTCACCTACCAGGCTCATCGGACCCCACAGGCCTCAGTCAGCCAGATCGGAGCCTTCACCCTTTGGGGATGCAGTCAATGACCAAACCAAGGATAGAGAACCATTCGATACAAGCCCACCCTTGACTCCCCAGCTGGTGGGAGTTTCATCTTTGGAAGCAAGTGCGCCCCACCCCTAGTCTGCTCTGCCCCGCTGCCCGGCACGGAGTGGGCACTCGGCGAAGGCTTGTTGACCGACTGACGGACAGGCTTGTGGCTTGAGAGTCGGTACCTTGCCTTCCTCAGTCTCCACTCCAATGGATCCGCTGGCTTTCGGACAGCTTTCATCAAGCCCTGCCCTTTTCACCGCCCTTGGTTTCGCCCTTAGGGCTCAGAGAACAAGACCGATCTCTCCTCTAAAAGGCCGTCGATCAAACATGTCTTGTAACATTGCCTCTAAACGGTCTCTGATCTAGGTTAAACTCTCCTAGCTCCTTCCAACAACCCCCATGGCACCTCAAGGCCCTCATCATGCTGGCTGGGCTCCTCTGGACATGCTCTAATTTATGCAAGTCCTTCCTAAAACGCAGCCCTTGTAACTGAACAGAACTCTCTGGCTTGTCATCTCGCTCATAATGCAGAGGAGGACGAGCTGCATCGGCTGTCCTGGCCGCTACCTCTTTCTGCTGACTCAGCAGATTTAGCCGAGCTTGGGGTCTGAAACCCCCAGATCTTCTCCAGATGAGCTGCCACCCACTCTTCAGATTCAATTTTGCTAATTTATTTTCCCTTTCAAATTCTCTCCCTCCCCCTTCCCCACTCATTGAGAAGGTAATAAAAAAGAAAACTCATTACAAATGTGTATAATCATGCAAAACAAAATTTCTGCATTAGCCGTGTTCCAAAAACAAAGAAAGAGAAGAAACTATGCTTCAATCTGCACTCTGAGGCGCTCAGTTCTCTGACTCTCCTCCCACTCTCAAATTAGACTTTTTGACCCCAAGAGTAAGACTTTTTCATCAGTAACAAATATGGGGTCAAAGAGTCTTAGGGCAAGAAGTGACCTCACAGGGCACCCATTCTAAGCTCCAGTGCAATGCAGGAAAACCCTCCACAACATTCATTCATCCATCAAAAATTTGTGAAATGGGTGGAGTCAAGATGGTGGATCAGAGGCAGTAACCCAGCTGAACTGTCTCAACATTCTCCAAACAGGTTTAAAACAACACCTCAAATCAAATTTTGGAGCGGTAGAGCCAACGAAAGGCCAGGGTGAGACATTCTTCCAGCTAAGAAAATTAGGATGTTGGCAGGAGACATCTGTGGCACCGGGGTGGAAGCCTGTCTGGAGGGCAGCACATTCAGTGCCAGCTGGGGCCTTGAAGGCGACTGCAATAGCAGCAGTGGTAGCAGCAACGGCAGTTTTGAGAGCCCTCATCCTAGAGATGGTAAAGGAGCTGGATAACTAATCAGAGAGAAGTTACAGGGGGCTCTTTGTTATCACTGGGTGGAGTTGGCACTGACTGGCAACTCTATTGCTCATAGCAGTTCTGGATTGCAGTTCCAAGGTAGAGAGGAACACTAGGGCTTGTGGCGGCAGAAGAAGGGCTCATGGGTAAAGACAAGGGCGCAGACCAGGAAAGCAATGACCCAGCCTCTCCCAGGACACCACCACCTTGGAAGCACACATCTGAAATGACAGATGTTGGCAGGAATATGGGAAAATAGGTATGCTAATAAACTGCTGGTATAGTTGTAAACTAGTCCAACCATTCTGCAGAGCAATTTGGAACTACGCTCAAAGGGTTATCAAACTGAGCATACCCTTTGATTCAGCAATACTGCCATTAGGACTATACACCAAATAGACGAAAGGAAAAGGACTTTTATGTGCAAAAATATTTATAGCAGCTCTTTTTGTAGTGGCAAAGAGTTGGAAACCAAGAGGATGCCCACCGATTGGGGAATGGCCAAAGAAGTTATGGCAAATGATTGTGATGGAATACTATTATGCTGTAAGAAATGACCAGGGAAGTGGTGTCAGAAAAACATGGGAAGACCTATCTGAAACTAAGGCAAGGAACCGGGAGGCCATTGTGCACAGTAACAGCCATGCTATAATGATGATCAACAGCGAAAGACTTAGCTGCTCTAATCAATACAGTGAGCCAAGACAATTCCAAAGGACTCATGATGAAAAAGTGCTATCCGTCTTCAGAGACAGAACTGATGAATCCTAAATGCAAATTAAAGTATAATCTTCTCACTTGACTTTTCTTGCTTTTTTAAAAAATATGGCTAACATGGAAATAGGTTCTGTATGATTTCACGTGTATAATTGCTATCACATTGCTTGCCTCCTCAGTGGGCATGGGAGGGGGTGGGAGACGGGGAGAGAATTTGGACCTCAAAATTTAAAAAGAAAAGAATGCCCAAGATAAATAAATGATGAGTTGTTGTGGTTTTAATTGATGAAGTAACCACCATGTAGTGTATTCATTCTGCTAGCCTCTGGGAGGCACAAAGATAAATAAGACATGGTTCCTGCCCTCAAGGAGGCTGTAGTCTAGTAAGAGAAATAATCTATATCATAGAAATGCTCTGAAGAAATTTTCTGAGTTCAAATTTGGCCTCAGACATTTTATTAGCCGGGTGATCCGGGGCAAGTCACTTAACCCTGTTTGCCTCAGTTTCCTCATCTGTAAAATGAGCTGGAGAATAAGAAAATAATTTCACTTTCTTTACTTTACAATTATTAATGCAATTTTATATGTGAAATCCTTAATCCAATTTTGGGAACTCGTTACTTAAACACACTCAAGGCTTGTATATCCCAAATGGGGTCCCAGAGAGTCAGACAATTACTGAAATCACTGAGCAACAAAGGAAACAATCTCTATCACAGAATTGCTCTAAGGAACCTAGTCTATGAATGTGCTTAATGATAATTCTTAATTCCTAATAATAAGAGCCAATGATAATCTATGCAGCGTTTCAAAGCTGGCCCAGCGCTCTGCAGACCTGATCACACACCTACTGCGTTGTAGATGGAGGATTTGAACCCCACTTTATGAAACTGGTTGAGGGTTCTCTTCCTGGTGAGTCCAGCCTGTACTTGAGCACGCACAGGTGTGAGGCTCCTGACCTCCTGGGAGGCGGCCCGGTCTACTCTGGGACAGCTCCGTGGTCAGACGTCATCGCTCACTTTGGACTGAGCTCTACCTCAGTGCCTGTACCATCCGCCCACTGGTCCTCAATGTGCCCTTTGGGGTAAATCGAGTATAATGCGCTCTAGGGTCAGGCGAGGTCTGCTGACCCCATCCCCTTACAGGCCCTCTCCACAAAGGGGGGTCTAGGACCACTCACCAACATCGTGAATGAATCTCTCGATCTTGGACTGCATGCCCCAGTATCGAAACTCCACCTTACACAGCTTGTACGCGCACATGATGGGCAAGTGGCTGGGGAGGTGGAGGCACTCCTCGATCCAGTCCTCAGATAGCGGGCCCCTCCTCGTCTTGACTGACCGAAAGAGCCGAGGGTCCTCCTCCAGCTTGTACTCATTGGGAGGGATGGGGTCTTTGACGATATCAATGGGATCTGAGGGCAGGACGTGAGAGTCACTTTTTTTTGACAAGAGGTCACAACATAAGATCCAGAGGTTGAAGCAACACTGGAGACCCGATGGCTAACCCCCTTCATTTGACAGATGAGGAAACTGAGGCAAGCAGGGTTAAGTGACTTGCCCAGGGTCACAGCTCTGAAAATGTCTGAGGCAGAATGTGAACCAAGGTCTGACTGACTACAATCCAATGCCCAAGCTATGACCCAAACCCTGTCCATCCCTCGCTCTCACCCACTCCCTCTAATCCAAGTTCTGCAGGGCTTTTCAAGCCACCAACATGGTTCTTGAATTAGGGGAAGCAAGAAGAGGGACGGGAGGGGAGATGTCAAGTTTCCTAACTAGATAATGGCATGTCTTGTAGTTTTCCCAGCTAGAGGCAGTTAGGCAAAGCAGTGGATAGAGTGGTGGAGTCAGAAGACCCAGGTTCCAATTAGGCCTCTGACAGCTGTATGACCCTAACCAAGTCACTCAACCTAGTGCCTCTGTTTTCTCATCTCTAGAATTAGGCAGCTAGGTGGCACAGTGGATAGAGTTCTGGGCCAGGAAGATCTGAATTCAAATCCAGCCTCAGACACTTCCTAGCTGGGTTACCCTGGGCAAGTTGCTTCACTCTGCCTCAGTTTCCTCATCTGTAAAATGAGCTGGAGAAGGAAACGGCAAACCACTCCAGTACCGCTGCCAAGAAAACCCCAAATGGGGTCATGAAGAGTTGGACAGGACTGAACAACAACAAAAATGGGGATAATATTAGCACCTACTTTTCAGGGCTGTTGTGAGGATTAAATGAGGTAATACCATAAAGTGCATAGCGCAGTGCCTGGCACACAGAAGTATCTTAATAAATGCTTATTTCCTTCCCTCCCTCCCTCCTTCCTTTCTCTCTCTCTCTCTCTTTCTTCTTTCTTTCTTTCTTTCTTTCTTTCTTTCTTTCTTTCTTTCTTTCTTCCTTCCTTCCTTTCTCTTTCCTTCCTTCCTTCCTCCCTCCCTCCCTCCCCCCCTCCCCCCTTCCTTCCTCCTCCCCTCCTCCCCCTCCCTCCCTCCCTCCTCCCTCCCTTCCTCCCTTCCTTCCTTCCTTCCTTCCTTCCTTCCTTCCTTCCTTCCTTCCTTCTTCCTTCCTTCCTTCCTTCCTCCCTCCTCCCTTCCTTCCTTCTCTCCCTCCTCCCTCCTCCCTCCCTCCCTCCTCCCTTCCCTTCCTTCCTCCCTTCCTCCCTCCCTCTTCCTTCCTTCCTCCTCCCTCCCTCCTTCCTTTCCCTCCTCCCTCCCTCCCTCCCCCTCCTCCCTCCCTTCCTTCCTTCCTTCCTTTCCTTCCTTCCTTCCTTCCTTCCTTCCTTCCTTCCTTCCTTCCTTCCTTCCTCCCTCCCTCCTCCCCCCTCCTCCTCCCTCCCTCCCCCCCCTCCCTCCCTCCCTCCCTCCCTCCTTCCTTCCTCCCTTCCTCCCTTCCTTCCTTCCTCCCTCCCCCCTTCCTCCCTCCCTTCCTTCCTCCTCCCTTCCTTCCTTCCTCCCCTTCCTTCCTTCCTCCCTTCCTTCCTTCCTCCCTCCCTCCCTGCCTCCCTTCCTCCCTCCCTTCCTCCCTCCCTCCCTTCCTTCCTTCCTTCCTTCCTTCCTTCTTATTACACACAATATATTGCCCCACTAGAGCTCACTGAGGGCAGGCACTATCACAGAATAAACAAACACTTGTTGGCTGATAGCATCTATTTCCCTATATCCCTTGGCTGGGGAGGATCACGGGATTTAAATCGAGGAGGGACCTGAGAAATCACCCAATCCGCTCCTCTCAATTTGCAGATGAGGAAACTGAGGCCCAGGGAAGTGAGGTCACATCAGATGAGCTCCTGGCACAGTCAGGAGTGCCCCTTTTCAGACAGGTGGACAATACACCCTGATCAGGCACTTGCAAGGTGAGGTGCTAGGCACTCTGCAGGAGCCATCATTCCATACTTTTTTTTTTCCTTTTTTTTTTTTTTTGGCAAAGCAGTGGGGTTAAGTGACTTGCCCAGGGTCACATAGGTAGTGGGTGTTATGTGTCTGAGGCCGGATTTGAACTCAGGTCCTCCTGACTCCAGGGCCAATGCTCTATCCACTGCACCACCTAGTTGCCCCCCCTCCATACTTTTTACCCAGCTGAACAAATCTGCAGCTGAAAGGGACGTCAGAAGCCCATCTTGGCCAAGTCCTTCATTCCACTATACGGCCCCCACTTTTCTTTTCTGTTTTTTTTCTTTTGTTCGGGGTTAAATGACTTGCCCAAGGTCACATAGCTGGTAAGTGTCAAGTGTCTGAGGTTGGATTTGAACTCAGGTTCTCCTGACTCCAGGGCCGGTGCTCTATCCACTATACCACCTAGCTGCCCCCCACTTTTCTTTTCTGATCCCACTCCTTTTCAGAAGGTCCTCTGAAAAATCATCTCTCCACTTGCTAAGACAACAGTCTCAACTCCCTGCCACTTCCTAATTCTTTGACTCCGGACCATCTCTTTGCTCTTCCTCCCTGGGTCTCACTGCTTCTAAACCAGAGACATCTCAGTAGGCTCTCCGAATGGCGGAGGGCTTGCAGCCAAGAGGGATGTTCCCTGCTTCTTGGGAGGGTTCAGGCAGCTCCTTTCCTGCTATCTCCTGGCACGGCTCAGAACCTCTGAACACTCACTGCCCACCGCGGGAGCCCGCAGAGGGAGTAGACGGGGAGCCTCCCTGCGTAGACACAAAGTGCCCTGGTACAGGGTGGGCAGGGGGCACTGGACAGAGGAAGCCCGGCTCTTTGAGGGAAATGTCGCCGGAAGAATCCCAGGCATGCTGGCCAGGGCGTCACCCGGAGACTCCACGGAGCCGTCCTTCCAGCAGGGGAGGAGACAGGCCCATCCCATTGCTCCTAAAGGCCAAGAAGAGGGCTGGGCATTGTGTCTCTGCCAGGAGGCCCTCGAGCCTGGTGCAAGGGCCCTCAGTGATCAGCCAGTCCAACCTGTTATTTTATGGAGGGGTAGCTATGGCTCAGACAGCAGATGACTCACGCAGTTCATTAGTGGCCCAGCCAGACCTCGAACCCAGGATTTCTGACTTCTAGTCTAGTCTAGTCAGTGCTCTTTGCATTATAGATTTTCCTTCTGTAGCAAGCCAAAACTCAGGGTTGTGGAGGAAGAACACACATATTTAAGAGAAATGGTCTTGGAAATGTTCCCCATCTCCCACCTCTGTGCCTTTGTGCAGGTGGTGCCCTCATATCCGGAAAGCACTTCTTCCAAGCTGGACAAAGTAAACCAAAGCCTGGACTTGGACAGACCTGGGCTCAAATCTAGGTAAGTCACTAATCTCTCTGAGCCTCAGTTTCCTCATCTATGAAACGGGGCTAATCATAGCATTTGCCCCATAGGACTGCTGGGATGCCTTTTTGTCATGCTTAAAGCCCTACACACATGGGAGCTTTCGAATTCCTACTTCCTGTCAAAGCGCAGGTCAGGGGCCATGCAGCAATGGGCCAGCACAGACTAGCAGATGAGACTCTGGGAGCTCTAGATTCAAATCCTCCCTTATTCACTAGCTGGCATTCTTGCTATCTGTAAGTCACACTTTTTGCTCTGTACGTACTTAGGTGCATCCACGTTGGACCCCTTTCCAGCAGAATGTAAACTCCTTGAGGGGCCTGGCTGTTTCCTTTTTGGGGAAGCTGGGTGGCCCAGTGGATAAAGTGGAGTCGGGGTTCAAATCCTGCCTCAGACACTTACTAGCTGTGTGACCCTGGGCAAGTCACTTCACCCTGTTTGCCTCAGTTTCCTCCTCTGTAAAATGGGCATCATAATAATAGCACCTACCCCACAAGGTTGTTGTAAGGAGCAAATGAAATAGTAATTGGAAAGTGCTTAACGCAGTGCCTGGCACATAGTAAGCGCTATGTAAATGTTAGCTATTTTTTTTTTACATTTAATTTTTATTTTATTTTTTCCTCAATGACATGTAAACAAAAAAATTTTAACGTTCCTTTTTAAAAAAATTTTGACTTCCCGAATCGCTATCACTTATTTTTACCTTCCATTGAGTTTTGTTTCCTCTTTCTGATGGTTCCTCCTATTGGTTTTGATTTTTACTTACAACTTCACTAATGTGAAAATATGTTTCATGGGTATGTAAATGTAAAGCCTATATCAGATTGTGTACCGTCTGGGGGAGGGTGGGGGGGAGGGAGGGAGGGAGAGAAAAATTTTCAACCCAAAAGCGTATGGAAGTGCTTGTTGATAAATCAAAATAGATTAATAAAATTTAAAATAAAATTTTGACTTCCTAATTCGCTCCCTCCCTCTCTCTCCTCTTCTTGAGAAGCCAAGCAATTTGATACAGATTATATATGTGCAGTCATGCAGAACATTTCCATATTAGCCATGTTACAAAGGAAAATAGGAACCAAAAAAATCAAGAATTATAAAAGTCAAAAAAGCATGGTTGGCTATTATTATTATTATTATTACTATTTACAGTGGTAGAGGGCATTTCCTCACTTGTCAGTTTCTCTCCTCCTTGTCTCTTTCCCCGATGACTGCCTTGCAGCAGATGCTTAACAAATATAGTGAATTAGGAAAGGACCCTGTTAGCCAGCCAGACAGACACCCACACTTTCTGGGTGCCGTGGGGTTAGACACATATAGGCCACAGGCCCATCCCACCAGAATGGAATGTAGGACAGGGGTTTGAGAGCCAGGGCAGGAAGATAATCAAAGACAAATTTCACCAGTTTACAGTGTTATTGAGGGAGGGGACAGACAGTAAACAGCCCAGTCAAGAGGGGGCAACATGGTGTAGTGGATAGCGCGTCCTGAGTTAATGTCAAAGAGACCTGGGTTTGAATCCTGTCTGTGATACTGACTAGCTCTGGGTAAATAAATCAATAGCTCTGAGCCTCCATTTTTCTCATTTGCACAATGGGATGATAGCAACTGTAAAAGCTACTTGGCAATGTTGTTGTGCGGGCAGGCAGATGTTTCAGCAGACAGAACACTGGGCCTGAAGTCAGGAAGACCTGAGTTCAAAGACAGCCTCACTTACTAGGTGTGTGACTCTGGACAAGTTACTTAACCCTATTTGCCTCAGTTTCCTCATCTTCCTGAGTTCAAATCTTGCCTCAGACATTTTCAGAGCTGTGACCCTGGGCAAATCCTGTTTGCCTCAGTTTCCTCATCTGTAAAATGAGCTGGAGAAGGAAATGGCAAACCACTCCAGTGTCTCTGCCAAGAAAACCCCCGAATGACAGAACAGTAATGTTGTTATGAGGCTCAAACAAGCTGCCACTCAGCCAACTTTAAAGGCCTACGGAGACGTCAGTTATCATTACTATTAATACACTAACCTGCAGCCTTCACTTCCCTTGCCCAACTTGAGAGAACCTTTTGGGTAGGTGGGAACATCCTTTTCTTTCCTTTTTTTAGGCCTAGGCAATGGGGTTAAGTGACTTGCCCAGGGTCACACAGCTATAAAGTGTTATGTGTTTGAATCCGGATTTGAACTCAGGTCCTCCTGACGCCAGGGCCGGTGCTCTGTCCACTGTGCTGGGAACATCTTTTCTAGCGGAGCTCAGGAAATAAGACAGTGCCTGGCCTGGGAGCCTGCATGTCCAGAGCTCTGATTACAGACCCTGCTTCCTTAGGGAGCCAGGCTGTGCACAGGGCAAGGGGAGAAAGCCACAGAGATCAATGAGGAGGTACAGGTTTAGAGTCTGATCCAGCTCCCGAGTTTGAGAGAGGCATGGAGGTGAAGTGGTTTGCCCAAGGCCACACAGTGACAAAGCCAAGATTTGAATCCAGGCTTTCTCTTTTCCAAATCCAGGGCATTTTTCCTCTTTCCTCCCATGCTGCCTCTCTGCCAAATATCTCTGGAAAGGGACTTTAGGTGGTATGATAAGGAACCTGTTTAGTTTGAAAGCAAACAGCTGTTACTGGGTGAAAGGTAGTGAAACCTGGGCTTCTGGGATTTAGGAAACTAGCTTAGGCTTTCTCTAGGCATGGCAAACTGAGAATAGATTTCCTCTTCCTGAATTTTTCCTCTTCTGCTCTTTGGGAATACTCTGGAGGCCCTACAGTTCTATCAGTGTCCCCACCAAACATATGGTGCCTAGCACACAGGATTCTGGAAAGAGCATTGTGGGATTGTCACCTCCCCAGGGTCTCCAAGGCAATTCCATCCATTCAGTCCAAGTTGGCATGAGCTCATCTTGCAGCCGAGTCCCACGGCATGGAGATTCTGGGGTCCAAGATCTAAGCTTGTGAGGGACCTCAAAGGCCATCTAGCCACACCCCTTCATTTTACAGATGAGGAAACAGGCCCACACAGGGACTTTCAGATTGTGCTATCAGAGATTTAGAGTTGGGAGGGACCCCAGAGGTCACACAGGGCAACTTTCTCATTTTTCAGATCAGGAAACTGAGGCCCAGAGAGGTGATCTGACCCAGGTTACGCAGGGAGTAGGCAGTTTCTGAAGCCCGAGTTAACTAATTCCACTCCTACTGCTCTTGCCACTGTCCTTAGAGGCAGTTAAATGGTCGGGAAGAACTGAGTTCAAATTGTGCCTTCAAATATTTGCTAACAGTGAGACCCTGGGCAAATCACATCATCCCTCTGGCTTTAGTTTTCTCATCTGCAAACAGAGCTAATAATACTCACAAAGTTGTGAGTATCAAGATAATTTAGGGAAAACACTGTATAAATCTTAAAGCATTATATAAATGGGAATTATTACTACTACTACCATTACTACTATCACCACTACTACCACCACTACCACCACCACCACCACCACCACCACCACCACCACTACTACTACTACTACTACTGCTACTATCACTACTCACTACTTACTACTATTATTATTACTACCACACAGGCCAAAAGTTAACTAAAAAACCCCATTCAGAAGAGTTTTGTAGCATCAGGAACATATTTAGCTGGAGAGAGACCCCTGCCTGGCAGCCTGGACCTCCTTCACTCACCAGACTTCTTTGGTTGCTTGTGTCAGGGGGAGTAGGTGGGTAGGGGAGGCAGGGGAGGGTGTCTAGGACCTGGCAGGAAATAGTTACCCAGTATGGTCTGTCTCTTTTCCATAGGAGAGAGGCTGAACACGTTGGCACTGTCTCCTGCGTCGGGTTTATAAAAAGTTTCAATATCAATGGAGAACTTCTCCACAAAAGGGCACGTATACCTGTGGGGGAGGAGAAGACAACAGCAGAAGTGAGTCTCCCGGTGTGAAGGCTCTGAACCACGAGTGAGGGGAATCAGCAGGGATGGCTCCTGACTCTCTGGAGGAAGGACTGTGAGAGGATGGGCCCATAACACAGACCAGAGTATGGGGGAGGTGGGGGTTCCTGCAGATCTGAGGGAGCCCCCGCTCCCAGGGACACAGAATGTTGAGCTAAAATCTAGCAATGGACCCCCATCCTCCTTCACCCTCCTCTTCTAGACACAAGGTCAGTGTGAATGGTGGAGCCAGCAGAGGGTAGGGTGGGTCCTAGTCCTGGGGAGAGGCTTCTCTGAACCAGAATCCCTCCTCTTCCTTAGGGCCCTACTGACCCCAAGGTTTCTTGGGCTATCTACAAATCCATCTGGCAGGCAAAGTGTGGTATAACAGAGTTAATGAAAGGTTGGCGCCTGAGGGGATGGAGGGAAGAGGCTCCCGTGCCACATGAAAGTGCTGAGAGCAAGGAGGTCACTGGATCATAGATTTAGGGATGCATGGGGACCTTAGAACCTGTCAATAAATAATAATCATAAGCAGCTAGCATCGTAAAGCACTTGGCACAAACATGCCCTCTTTACGGTGGAAAGTTGGCTGTTTATGGACCTGGAGGCACAAAAGTTCACTCCATGGGATTTCTTAATATCTCTCTGGGTCCCAGTCCTAGTAAAGAAAGGTCACTGGAAAGAGGTGGGTCACGGGGTAGCTAGGTGGTGCAGTGGATAAAGCCCTGGCCCTGGAGTCAGGAGGATCTGAGTTCAAATCTGGCCTCAGACACTTGACACTTACTAGCTGTGTGACCCTGGGGAAGTCACTGAACCCCACTGCCTAGCAAAAAACAAAACAAAATAAAACAAAACAAAAAAAAGAGGTAGGTCACTCCACCAGTGTCTGAAACACAAAGTCCCTAAGATAAGATAAGATGAGAGATAAGATAAAAATGGAGGCACAGGGCACTGCAGGGACTGAGGTAGAAGCAAAACGTCCCTCCTTTTTCCCTCTGTGGGCCTTCCCAGTTCTGACATTCTGGAGTTCCAGTGTATCACCCAGGTGCCATATTCTGTGCTCCAAGGCTCTTCTCAGCTCTAACATTCCCTGTGCTAAGGGCTCTTCAGGATCTAATTTTTTTTGGGAGGCAATCAGAGCTAGGTGACTTGCCCAGGGTCACACAGCTAGTAAATGTCTGAGGCTAGATTTGAACTCATGTCCTCTTAACTTCAGGGCTGGTGCTTCATCCACTGTACCATCTAGCTGCCCCCTCAGGATCTAAAATTCTGTGACTGATTCTTCCCGGGCCAGTGGGATCTTCAGTATCCAAGGTTAGAAAGTCTATTCAATAACTCCCCTGCCTCTATACGGTAATCTCTTTCCCACACCCCACAATATCATTTTGCATGTAGTGCAATGCCTAGCATTGCAAGTGCTTGAGAAATGTTAGTTGTTTTATTTATTTATTTGTTTGTTTGTTTTTTAGGCATTTGGGATTAAGTGACTGTGTTTGGTCTGAGGCCAAATTTGAACTCAGTCCTCCTGACTTCAGGGCCGGTGCTCTATCCACTGTGCCACCTCGCTGCCCCCAAAATGTTAGTTGATTGATACTGGTGGAGTTCACAGACCATTTTGAGGTCGGTAGACAACTCTGCAATATGGCGGCCGTCACTGGTTTGACAAACCAGGGGCTGGTTACTGATGTGTGAATGGAGGGTGGGTGTGAAGGGTGACTTCTGCCCTCTAGCCCTATGTGCACGCACCTCGTCCTGGTGTAGGGGTAAGCATTCCAGGATTCCTCTTCCACCCGCAAGGCTGCCTTGGGCAGGATAGAGCGGAACCAGCTGGGGATGTGCATGCCAATATGGTACACCTTGTGTGTGTACTGGCCAGCACCCCCCGGCCCGTCGGTGTACGGCCGGTTCTCCAGGATCTCTACCCCGCTGCCTTCACCACACGTCTCCTCACGGCTCTTTTTCTGCAAAGACACACAGGTATGCGTTAACATGTGACTCATTCCCAGAGCCCAGGTCCTTCTCTCTGGCAGGCAGGCGGGAGTTAAGGGGCTCCCAGCGACCAGAAAGCACTTGGCAGGCCTCAAGAGGCCTGTAAGTGGCCACTGCATCCTGGTAGAGGCAAGCCCGAGTTCCCAGGCGCTGCTCACACAGGGAAGTTGAGTGGGGCTCTGAAGTGGAGTGCTCATCAAACCTGATGCCACACATTAGTGCTGTGCCTGGCTGTGGATGTTACAGAGCAGAGGACAGTGAAATCCATCAGAGCGGTGCCTGTGGTGATGGGGGCTGACCGCTTTGAGGATGAGTCCCCCCAAGCACAGATCACAGGATTCAGAGCTGGGAAACATCTTCGAAGTCACAAGGACCAACTCCTCATTTAACCATGGAGAGGCCTTGGGGGATCAAGAGACTCATCTAAGAATCACAGACTGCAAATTTGGAACTAATGCCTCATTTTAAGATGAGGAAACTGAGGCCTGAAGAGAGGAAGTGAATTGGCCAGGGTTAAAGAGGGTAAGCGGGGGCAGCTAGGTGGCACAATGGATAGTGCACCAGCCCTGGAGTTAGGAGGGCCTGAGTTCAAATCCAGCCCCAGACACTTACTAGCTATAAGTGACCCTGGGTAAGTAACTTGACCCCAACTACCTTTTAAAAAAAGTATAACTGAAGGTCCAAGATTCGAACCCAGGACTTGAGACTTCTAGAGTCAAGAAAAGTCAACAAGCATTGATTTCTCTCTCTCTCTCTCTCTCTCTTTCTTTCTTTTGTGAAGCAATTGGGATTAAGTGACTTGCCCAAAGTCACATGGCTAGTGAATATTATGTGGATTTGAACTCAGGTCCTGCTGACTCCAGGGCTGGTGCTCTCTCCACTGAGCCACCCAGCTGCCCCCACAAGCATTGATTAATGTGGCAGGCACCGGGCCGAGTGCTGGGAACACAAATATGAGTTAGTTACTCTTTCTACTTAATCATCCTGCCTCCCCAGGTAGCCTTCAACATCTGTAGCCTGAGTTTCACCTTCCCTCTTGTCAGTGCTGAACCTGGTCACCTCCTGGCGATGGGTGATTACTGCTCTGTGCCAGTGCCCTCAGTGATCACACCACGTCACAAACTGCTACATGATGGAGATGAGCTCAGGGTGGGTAAGTTTGTCACATCTGAGGGGCCTGGCCATGATAGCAGCAGCCTTGCAGGTCACGGACCTCTAATGGACCAGAGGGTCTCGTGTGTACAAAAGGGACTGTCTGTGCCAGGGAGAGGAGGCAAAGTCCCTTCCCAGAGTCCCCTGTCTTGGGCAAGAGCAGAGTGAGGGATGGATGCCATGTACCAAGCAGGGCTGTTGGGAGGCTACAAAGTGCCCCAGAACCCTTCAAAGCCCTAGAGACTGGTAAGCTACTCCCAGCAGGTCAAGATGAAGGGCAGGGGTTCAAGAACACAGCAGGGTTACAGAGGAAGAAGCAAGATGCCTGGTTAGGAGGCACTCTTAAAGACACGAATTCTGGAGGCAGTGCAGGCCTGTTGAGGATGCTACACAGAGCATTTATTTGATCTACCTACACAATAGTCCATAAAAACTGAACATAAAGGACAAGGCAGCCAGTGACTTAGCCCAAGAATGCTCCTCTCTAAATCCCATTAAAGTCTCACTGGCAAGTTGTGTCCAACCTTTGGGGACCCCTTTTGGTGTCTTCTTGGCAAAGATACTGGAATGGTTTGCCATTTCCTTTTCCAGCTCATTTTACAGTAGAGGAAACGGAGACAAACAGGGTGAAGTGACTTGCCCAGGGTCACACAGCTAATAAGTGTCTGAGGCTGGATTTGAACTCATGTCTTCCTAACTCCAAAGCTGGAGCTCTATCCACTGAGCCACCTAGCTGCCCCCTCTACATACATTATCTTGTGTGGGCCTCAGACACAACAACCCTGTAAGGTTGGCATGGCAACCCCATTTTAATGGTAATGATATGCCCACCTCCAGTAAGCACTGGGAAGTGTACTTCAAACCCAGGTCTTTGGGATTTCCAGTTTAGCGCCTATCGAGAGAGAACCCTTTAGTGTCCTCCAGACAGTTTACAAAGAACATGGCCCAGCATTTCCACCCCCAGAAGTTTTGAAATCACAGAACTCCTTACATCTGGCCACAGAGACAATCTCATTCAACTCTCACTGTTCTGTAGAAGCTCTCGGGGTCTTAAGTGTCCCACAAGCTCTACAAGCTGGCAGCTTGATGTAGGCTCTTGGGTCACAATAAGGGCCTTCCAGGAATAAGGAGATGAGAGTCCCACTGCACTGTTGCCACGGTCAGACCTCATCTGGAGAACCGTGTTCAGCTCTGGGCACTACAATTTAAGAAGGAACTTGCTAAGCTAAGTCCTTTTTTTTTTATATGAAGAATAGCTGGGGAAACTGAGGAAGTTGAGCATAGAGGAGAGGACTCCCAGGCAAGGCAGCGAAGTATTCCTTAAGTGCTCTACCCCATTAGACTGTAAGCTCCTCGAGGGCAAGGCCATGTATGCCCAGCATTTAGCACAGAGCACAGTACACAGTAGGTGCTTAATAAATGCCTATTAGCCAACAGGCTGACTAGCTTCCTCTGGGCGAGGCATGGTGCTGACAGGTGGGTTCTTCAACTCTGCAGGGCTGTCGTATGGAGAGCGGATAAAACTTACCCTGTTTGGCCCCGGAGGGAGAAACCAGGAGCAATGTGGGGTGGAGGGGAGGGAGAGAGAAGTGCAAGGACTCCAACTGAGGCTAGATGTAGAGGAAAATTTCTTAATCCAAGCAGCCCTAAAGTGGGATAGGTTTCCCTGAGAGGGGGTGGACTTCCCTGCCTCTGAGGTCTCCGAGCAGAGAATGACCACTCAATTCAATATGCTGTCATGGAAATTGGGGTATGGGTCAGACTAAAGGGACAGTGATGGAATAAAAAAAAAATAACAACAATAATAATAGCTTTATGTAATATATAAAATATATTTTATATAATTTTGTATAACAACATTTATGTATCACCTACTATATTGGGCAGCTAGGTGGTGCAACGGAGGGAATGCCAGACCTAGAGTCAGGAAAACCTGAGTTCAAATCTGGCCTCAGACACTTGACTCTTTGCAAGTCACTTCACCTACCTGCCTCAGTTTCTTCATTTGTAAAATGAGGATAGCAACAGCATCTACCTCCCAGGTTTGTTGTAAGGACAAAATTAAATAATACTTATAAAGTGCGTAGTACGGTGCCTGGCCAATAGTACGTGTTATACAAATGTTAGCTATGACTGTTATTAGGATTGTATGTGTGGGATGAGTGAAGGTGAGGAGTCAAAGACGACAGCAAGATTGTGAGGCCAGGTGCCTGAGAGGATGGTCATGCCCTCAATAGTAAAAAGGAAGTTTGGAAGAGTGAAGGGTTGGTGGGGGGGGGAGGAAATGAGTTCTGTTTTGGATGTATCGAGTCAAGATGTCTATAGGACATCCAAGATGTCTGAGAGGCAGCGAAAGCGAGGTGGCATAGTGGATAGGGCACCAACCCTGGAGTTAGGAGGGACTGAGTTCAAATCTGGCCTCAGCCGCTAGCTGTGTGATGCTGGATAAGTCATTTAACCCCAAATGCCTCCAAAAAAAAAGGAAGGGGGGCAGTTGGCAATGTAGGACTTGGAGCTCAGAAGAGAGAAGAGGGCTGGATATAGAGACCTGGGGATCATTACCAAAGAGATCAAAGATGAGAGAACCATGTGAAATAGTATACACACACACACATATATACATATATAATACATATATATATATAGAGAGAGAGAGAGAGAGAGAGGGAATGAGAGAGAAGAGAGAGAGAGAGAGAGAGAGAGAGAGAGAGAGAGAGAGAAAGAATGAGAGAGAGAGAGGAAAGAGAGAGAGAGGAGAGAGAGAGAGAGGCAGATATGAGGAACCAGGACAGATCTTGGAGGACATCTATATTAAGTGGGAAGTGAAAGAGGCTGAGAAGGAACAGATGCCTCTCACCAAGGCTTTGCAGAGGGCATGAAGAATGTGGGGCTTGGCCTCCACACCAGGCCAGGAGGAGTTGGTTTAAATACTATGGAATGTGGGAGCCAGCTGGTTGGGAGTCCCTAAGTAGTCACCATGACTGCTCACAGAGAGCTGGGACCCAAACATAGACCAACTGCATGCTGGGAGCCAGTACAAGGGGATCACCTCTGGAATTTCTTGGTGTGGCTCAGCTGGCCTCATGCCAGGGCTGGCCCAGCCCAGCAAGCTGCCTCCAGCCTCCTTCTGGACTGTCCCGGCTTCTCAGGCCCTCCCCAGCCTCCTTCGGCTCATCTCGGGTAGCTGTGTTCAGGATGCTTATTGCTAGCTTTTCTCTAGTACAGACGATGACGTGCCCCTCTCTAGCTCAAGTAATAGCATTAAATCACTTGGGGGGGAAGGGGAGTAGGAAGCTGGGCACACAGATGCCCTGAGATTAGCAAGAATGCCAGGTACTTAAAGGCTTCTATTAAGATAAATCTCCTGGCACTGGGGCATAAACACAGGATGGACGCGTGACCTGCTGGCAACAATTAGGGAATTAATAATCTAACCCCATTTGTCACAAGCCAAGGCAGTGGGCAGGGACTCCCAGAAGCAGCTGAAAGTGCCCCCCGTCATTCCTCCATTAAGGAAGGGGTGCAAGAGGGTTGAGATAGTTTTCATCTCCTGAATGATGATTTCTCTCTGGAAGAAGGCAAAGTTGGAATCTGCCTGGAAAAAGTGGCACAGTTGAGAGGCAGGTAAAACTATGGTCGATTTCTGAGAGGGCTCAGAGTTAAACCTTCCCTAGCCTCAGTTGTCAAATCTGAAAAATGAGAAGGTTTGACAAAATCGGTATGGAAATCCCTATGATTCAATAGGGTTGGCGGTGAATAATGGTTTGGGTGAACAGAGCAAGGAAGGATGGATTGCCTGGGAAAATAAATCCACAAAGCA